GTGTGTGTGTGTGTGTGTGTGTGTGTGTGTGTGTGTGTGTGTGTGTGACTTCCTCTCCATTGCCTTACATTAACAGACACTTAGACTAATTTATTATTCACACAAACACATCGACCTGCTGTCACAGGTTGGATTTTCTTACCACAATCAGTATTTCCCTGTGCCTGAGTGAGACAAAATTGGTACGGCTTCTGTCAAACCCGGGAATATTTCAGTAAAAATCAGTAAAAACTGACACCGAAGGGCCTTGCACATGCACCTGCTCCCCCACATGTACATCTGTGCAGACATCACACGCACACGCCACACACGCACACCACAGCCAGGCACACAGGCCACAAACGCCCCAGTTCCGCTGTAGGCAGTTTGCCCATCCACCCCTCCCATCCGCAGGGCATTGGCTCATGGGAGGTAGTTTTTTAGGGGGCAGTTAACCCCCAGCCAATGTCTGACACCCCCCCCCCCAAACAAGCTGCCAGCTTTCAGAGGCTCAGGCTGAGAGATCGTCCTTCCTGATTCCTGTGAGTCACTGACAGATCCCAGCTTGTCCCTCGCCCAGGATGGGGCTGAGGGCAGGGGGACATGGCTGGGGGTGGGAGGTTTCTGCTGGGCCCCACTGGGTGACCCTGGTGTCCCCTGAGCAAGGGAGGAAGCTGCTGGTTAACTCAACCTTGCTCCTGTTGCTTTAGGGCGCCACAGCCTGGCCGTGCTAGTCACAGCCGTCACCCACGAAGACGGGACTCAACACTTCATCATGATTGCCCGGCTGGATGATGTTCAGATCGCGTACTACAACAGTGACACGCGAGAGCTCAGACCCACCGAGGAGTGGGCGGCACAGGCCATGGGCGCTGAGTATATCAAGGAAAAGACCCAGGAGTTCTGGGGGTTTGAGGAGGGCGCTAGAGGCGAAACCAGATGGTTGATGCAGCAGTACAACCAGACGGGCGGTGAGTGTCTGAGAGTTGTTGTTATTAATGGACACGCGAGAGCTGCCCGCTCAGAATCACTCCCACTGGGGATTGGGGCCTTGCTGTGCTAGGTGCTGCCCAAACCAGAGCTGGCTGGAAAATGGAGTTTTCTTCCCACAGAAAATGTGTTATTCCCGGAAGTGGTTTCATTCCCGATCGGAAGGAAAGTCGGAAATGGGAGGTTTCCCGCGGGAAGAAAATATTTCATAAATTCCATCCCAGGCAGGGAGCCAGGCAGCCCTGGGATCTTCCCTTTCAATTTCCCCAACAGAAAATCAATGTTTTCTGGCCAAATTGAAATTTTCTTACGAAAAATTACAATTTTGTGTAAACAGCCTTTCCCAAGGCTAACAGAAAGTCAGGAACCATTAGGAAAGGGACAGATAATCAGACAGAAAACGTCATAATGCCTCTATATAAATTCATGGTGCGCCCACACCTTGAATACTGTGTGCAGAGCTGGTCACCGATCTCAAAAAGGTCAGAGTGGAACTGGAAAAGGCTCAGAGAAAAGGGTAACAAAGATGATCATGGGTATGGAACGGCTTCCATATGAAGAGAGAGAAAAAAGATTAGGGCTGTTCGGTTTAGAAAAGGACGACTAAGGGGGGATATGATAGAGTCTATAAAATGATGACTGGGGTGGAGAAAGTGAATAGAGACGTGGTCTTTACCCTTTCCCACAATAATAAACCGGGGGTCACCTGATGAAATTAACAGGCAGCAGGTCTAATACAAACAAGAGGAAGTACTTTTTCACACAACGCACAGTCACCCTGAGAAACGCGTTGCTGGGGGATGTTCTAAAGCCAAAAGTGTAACTGGGTTCAAAGAAGAACTAGAGAAGTTCCTAGAAGATCGGCCCATCGATGGCTATGAGCCAAGATGACCAGAGATGAAACCCCATGCCTGGGGCGCCCCTAAACCTCCACCTGCCAGAAGCCAGGAGGGGAAGTGTAGCGGGATAGTCACCTGCTCCTGCTCTGAGGGGTTTAAAAACAGCCCTTGGAAAGGATGGGGGGGGGGGGTGAGAGAGAACACCCTGGGCTGATTGAGGGAAGTAGTTGCAGCTGGGCCACGCCCCAATCAGAGCCCAGCTGGCCCTATAAAGGCCAGGGCGGCCAGAAGCTCAGCAGTCTCTCTTGAGTGCAGGGAGAGAAGGGGGGTGGGTGTCTGTGTGGATGCAGACACGCCTGGCCTGGCTGCAGGGAGCTAGAGACAGGATACATGAGTGGAGCAAGGCTGGGGAGCTCCAGCCTGGAAAGCCCCAGGCTGCAGTCTAGCATTGGGCTAAAAGATACTGGGGGTTGCAGAGGGCAGCCCAGGGCTAGGCCAAGGCAGCAGGTCCAAACCCTCCTTGCCTGTGATGAGTGGCTTATACTGCAGTCTGCCCCAGGGAGTGGGGCTAGATGGTGACTGGCAGTAGCTGTACACTGAGGTGAGGTAGGGTTGGTGGGTGGGGGTTCCCTTGGGAGGGGAGACCTAGTGTGTGGGTACTGCCAGGGGGCAGCACCCAGAGCAAGGGGCCAGGGTCCTGGGAGGGACACAGGGCCAGAAGTAGAGAGCAAGGCAGATCACTGGCCTGCAGAGGGCGCTCTGGAGGCTGGGTCGAGCTAATTCCCTGAGAGACCAGCAGGAGGCGCCGCAGGGGTGAGTCCGCTCCTCTTACAGGAAGACCGGGGTGGATCACTCCAGAATTGCCCTGTTCTGTGCACTCCCTCTGAATCTCTGGTGTTGGTCAGTGTCAGACCTTGGTCTCACCCCGTATAGCACCTCTCATGTTCACCGCTGGAGAGACTCCAGGAGCTAGTAACTGTCCGACAGGATCCCAACCCCTCAGTCCTTCCCGTGGGTCTGCTCTGACCCCTCCTGCTCCTCGGCGTCCTCTGGGATTGTTCGCTAGCTCAGCGTAAGGTCCCCACACGGTCAGAGACGGTAAAGTGCCGGTGTCACCGACCGGCCGAGTGTCCTCTGACACCCCCCCCCCCCCCCCACACACACAGAGACACATTTCCCAGTTCTCAGTGCCCTGGTGTCACCGTCCATCCGGCTGAGCCCCCTCTGACCCCCCCCTTTCCCCTCCAACGGACACATTTCCCTGATTTCAATGCACGGTCTCAGCTCTCTCCCTCCTCCACAGGGATTCACACTGAGCAGGTTCACGTGGGTTGTGCGCTGAGTGACCAGGCCCCCATGGACCCGAGGTTCCAGTACGCCTACGATGGGGGGGACTTCATCAGCTTTGACAACCAGACCGGGACGTGGGTCGCGGCCGTGCAGCTGGCTGTCCCTGTGAAGCAGCTCTGGGAGACAGGGGACAAGTTCTGGACTCAGTTTGTCCAGCGGTACCTGCAGCACGAGTGCCTGGAGACCCTGCAGAGCCTGGTGCAGCGGGCAAGGGCGGTGCTGGAGCGACACGGTGAGTGAGCAGTGGGAAGCTATGGGTTGGGGGGACGGGGCACAGGGACACCAATGGGACTTGGGTATGTCTGGAAGGGGCAGTGTGACCTAGTGGAGAGTGTCCAGAGTCGCAGGTCAGTGCATCTGGGTTCTATTCCCAGCTCTGCCACTGGCCTGCAGGGTGACCTTGGGTCAGTCACTCCCCCTCTCGGTGCCTCCATTTCCCCATCTGTACAATGGGGATAATGGCACCAACCTCCTTTGTAAAGTGCTTGAGATCGACCGATGGGTTATTAGTCGGTTCTGGCTGCCTGGGCATCTCCGTTCTGCAGGGCCTTTCCTGTTGGCTTCCAGCTCCCTCAACCTTCCCTTTTCAGGCTGAAATGTCCCAGCTCTGGGCTGTGAGTTGGTTTTTTTTGGCATGTTTGGTCCGGAAAAGGCCCAGCCCTTTGTGAGTGTGAAGGAGGTGGGGTGGGGGAGGGGGATGCACGCTGTCATTATTAAAATAAAAACTTGTTTTGAGGTTCTTGTGCCCAGCGCTGGTACCTCCACAGTAGAGGGCAGAGACATGGACGGGGACAGGGACTCGGGGCCGTGGGAGAAAGGGATTTAAGCCACTGACAATGCAGACTGGGGCCAGCTGGGATTTCCGAACGCTTGACTCCTCATGTTACCAGATTTGCCCATTACTTTGGAGTATGCTCATTTATTCGGGTTACTTTTTTTGGGGAAGGGGATTTTGTAATCTTATTAATGTACTGCTTGTGTCACTTGTGTTTTCATATGGAGCTCTACTTCTCCCTTCTGCAAGTCCCCTCCCAGTGGAGCTATCCTGCAGGACCTAGGGTCCCTAGGGCTGGGTTTCTCCAGCCCCAGAACCGGATGAACACCCACCCACACACACACACACATACATTAACAGAGCAAGTCTGAGCGGACCGGGTCAATCAGCACCGTCAAGCTGACCCCTTATATGTCTCTGGACTCACTGGGCTGGAGGAAGCAGCACTTTCAAGCTACCTCTCCTTATATGCCCCTGGGCTCCATGGACTGGGTCAAGCAGCACTTTCAATCTGTTACCCTTATGCGTTCCAGATTCAGCACGTCCCTATCCTCACTCCCCCAACACAATTGTACTGGCAGTAACCTACTTGATGAGCAAACCCCACAGTATTCTGGGCGCTGCAGGGATCTTTAGCTTAGGTAAAAGAAGCGCTGCTGTAGAGTGAATGGGGGAAGCTAAAAACACAAAAGAGTAAAGTTCAGCAAGAGAGAGAGAAGCAACCAACTTAACCATAGAAGTTATTTATTGAATAATAGTGATAACTACACAAGGGGGGCTAAACCAACATAACATACACGATTAAAGGTTAATACCTAAGGTAGAAAGGAAAACAGAGAGAGAGAAAGAGGGGGGATCTCACCCGCTCCATGAGGCTTGAACTGGTCGGGGTTCCCAGGTGGTGGTGGTAGCGGAGGGTCCCGAGGGCAGGAGACAGGCAGAGCCCCCAGCACGATCAGTCAGGAGATGGAGTTCCAGTGGAACTGATGCAGAGTTTGGATCTAAGCATCAGAACCCTGACTAGAGGGTGAGTAGGGATTTTTGTAGAGAAATTACAATTGTTCAAGGGAGAACACTAGATTTGTTTATAGGTAAACTGATGACGCCAGGGTTTTCTTTAGACTAGACAATAGGAGCTGATCACTCTTGGCTATGGGTGGTGTTTTCTTCCAGGGAGCTCACAATGCAACTAGGCTGCTTCAGTATTTGGATATCAATAAAGGATTTATGACTAGAATTGGTCTGATAACTGCTGAGCTGGGTGTGGGCAGGCATGGGTTCATTAGCATCTGGAGCAGAGATTCCCAGGATGCAGTGCTTCCCTGCTTTTTCTGGTCCCAGAATTCAGTGTGGTTCTCTGTTCTCCATTCTGTATGTAAATTGAGATGTCTTCCTGTCCCATCTTTCATGCAGATGAGGCATGGGGAGTTGTCTCTGCTCTCCATTCTGTATGCTAATGGAGATGTCTTCATCTTGTCACCCTTGTCAGGAGGGGTCTGGGTCTGTCTCCCAACGCCCTTCACTGCTCTCTGCAAGTTTTTTTTCCTCTGATGGGTTTTGGTTTAAGCAGAGGCTGGGGGGGTGTCTTTCATGAGTCAGGCTGGATACTGCGCCCTGGTTCCCCAGGAATACAGAGGTGTCTGGTATCAGCCATGAGATCACCGGGGTGAGGCACCGAGGGGCGTTTGGAAATCTGGCCCTTAGCCCCTAAATCGTACACGTGTGTTTGGGTGGCCCAGTGACAACCTGCCTGGGCGTAGCCATGTTATAGCGCGGGATTGCACGCAGCGAAGGAGACCCGGGCACAGGCCTGTTCTGGCAACTACCCAGTTCAGCCACCACCAATGTGAGCAGTTTGAGTGAGTCTGCAGAGGGGTGTGAGCCAGGTGCCTGGGGCAGCCCTCACTGAAAATGCCAAGCTCAGGGCAGGCTGCAAAAAGATGAGCAGATTCTCCCAAAACTGGCCATTAACACTGAAGTTAGATTCACTAACCAGTTACAAACTGTGCTTCTGATTCCCCACACTGGTTATCAAGAAGCTGAAAAAAGAAATCACAAAGCCCCCTTTATTGCATTCCAGTTCTCTGGCTCCCAATTAGCACCTAGGTCCCGTAAAGCGAGAAGTTATTTAAAAACTCTGCTCATTATACAAAATGTTCTTCTGACCCCAAAGGGACAGCCACATTACCAGGTCAATATTAGGTTGGATCTTACCCAAAATCCCACGCTGCCAGCCAATCCTTTAGTGTCTAAAACTAAAGGTTTATTAGAAAAGAAAAGAAAAAGAAGAAAGTTGTTGAACAGTAAAGCAATCAGATACACACATAGGACTTCAGAGTCCATATATCAGGTTCCTATCAGTGTTGGTGAGTTTGCTGGATTGAAAGTCCCTCTGGTACACATCCACAGCTTGGATGGGTCATTCCGTGCTTTGTTCAGAGCTTCAGTTTGTAGAGAAGTTGCTCCAGAGGTGAGAAGCAGGAATGAAGACAAAATGGAGACAGTGGCGGATTTAGAGTTAGTGGGGCCCTGTGCTTAGCTTCATTTTTGGGCCCCCTCCTTGGGAACCAGCCAAGAAAAAGAACATTCTCTCTCATCTCCTCCCCGCCCCCGTTTTCATTCTTTTTTTCTTCATCCTCCTCCTATAAGTAATAGCAAGTAAATGAAAATAAAGTGAGGTACCTTGATTGTTTTTGTAGTCTAACTTATTTTTCCACAGACCACTTGCAAATCGCGGAGGGTCTCGGCGGACACTTAATGATCTTTCCAAATATTGTGTGTACCATTAGCTAACCATTGTAAATTGCTTTGGATAAGAGCACTTTATTAAAAAAATGTAAAAAAACCTTGGGGTGCGGGGTCTGGACAGGACCTAGGGTGCGGGAGGGGGCTCAGGGCTGGGGGTGCAGGGTCTGGGAGGGAGTTAGGGTGCAGGAGCAGGCTGGAGGTTGGGGTGCAGGGTCTGGCCAGGAGTTAAGGTGCGGGAGGGGGCTCAGGGCAGGAGGTTGGGGTGTGGAGCGCTTACCTGGGGCAGCTCCCATTTGGTGCGAGGGGTGCAGGTGAGAATGTGGGGGGGTGCAGGAGTCAGGGCTTGGAGCTGGGGGTGTAAATTGGGGTTGTGGGGGTGCTCCCAGCCCCCTGCCCTGTGCAGCTCACAGCGGGGGGGGGGTATGTGTAGGGGGAGTGCAGGGGCCCCGCCTTTCATAGAATCATAGAATATCAGGGTTGGAAGGGACCTCAGGAGGTCATCTAGTCCAACCCCCTGCTCAAAGCAGGACCAATCCCCAACTAAATCATCCCAGCCAGGGCTTTGTCAAGCCGGGCCTTAAAAACCTCCAAGGAAGGAGATTCCACCACCTCCCTAGGTAACGCATTCCAGTGCTTCACCACCCTCCTAGTGAAATAGTGTTTCCTAATATCCAACCTAGACCTCCCCCACTGCAACTTGAGACCATTGCTCCTTGTTCTGTCATCTGGTACCACTGAGAACAGCCGAGCTCCATCCTCTTTGGAACCCCCTTTCAGGTAGTTGAAAGCAGCTATCAAATCCCCCCTCATTCTTCTCTTCTGGAGACTAAACAATCCCAGTTCCCTCAGCCTCTCCTCATAAGTCATGTGCTCCAGACCCCTAATCATTTTTGTTGCCCTCCGCTGGACTCTTTCCAATATTTTCACATCCTTCTTGTAGTGTGGGGCCCAAAACTGGACACAGTACTCCAGATGAGGCCTCACCAATGTCGAATAAAGGGGAACGATCACGTTCCTCGATCTGCTGGCAATGCCCCTACTTATAAAGCCCAAAATGCCATTAGCCTTCTTGGCAACAAGGGCACACTGTCGACTCATATCCAGCTTCTCGTCCACTGTGACCCCTAGGTCCTTTTCTGCAGAACTGCTACATAGCCATTCAGTCCCTAGTCTGTAGCAGTGCATAGGATTCTTCTGTCCTAAATGCAGGACTCTGCACTTGTCCTTGTTGAACCTCATCCGATTTCTTTTGGCCCAATCCTCTAATTTGTCTAGGTCCCTCTGTATCCTATCCCGATCCTCCAGCGTATCTACCACTCCTCCCAGTTTAGTGCCATCTGCTAACTTGCTGAGAGTGCAGTCGACACCATCCTCCAGATCATTAATAAAGATATTAAACAAAACTGGCCCCAGGACCGACCCTTGGGGCACTCCGCTTGAAACCGGCTGCCAACTAGACATGGAGCCATTGATCACTACCCGTTGAGCCCGGCGATCTAGCCAGCTTTCTATCCACCTTCTAGTCCATTCATCCAGCCCATACTTCTTTAACTTGGCGGCAAGAATACTGTGGGAGACCGTATCAAAAGCTTTGCTAAAGTCAAGGAATAACACATCCACTGCTTTCCCCTCATCCACAGAGCCAGTTATCTCATCATAGAAGGCAATTAAGTTAGTCAGGCACGACTTCCCCTTGGTGAATCCATGCTGACTGTTCCTGATCACTTTCCTCTCCTCTAAGTGTTTCAGAATTGATTCCTTGAGGACCTGCTCCATGATTTTTCCAGGGACTGAGGTGAGGCTGACTGGCCTGTAGTTCCCCGGATCCTCCTTCTTCCCTTTTTTAAAGATGGGCACTACATTAGCCTTTCTCCAGTCATCCGGGACCTCCCCCGATCGCCATGAGTTTTCAAAGATGATGGCCAATGGCTCCGCAATCACATCCGCCAACTCCTTTAGCACCCTCGGATGCAGCGCATCCGGCCCCATGGATTTGTGCTCATCCAGTTTTTCTAAATAGTCCTGAACCACTTCTTTCTCCACGGAGGGCTGGTCACCTCCTCCCCATACTGTGTTGCCCAGTGCAGCGGTCTGGGAGCTGACCTTGTTCGTGAAGACAGAGGCAAAAAAAGCATTGAGTACATTAGCTTTTTGCACATCCTCTGTCACTAGGTTGCCTCCCTCATTCAGTAAGGGGCCCACACTTTCCTTGACTTTCTTCTTGTTGCTAACATACCTGAAGAAATCCTTCTTGTTACTCTTAGCATCTCTTGCTAGCTGCAACTCCAAGTGTGATTTGGCCTTCCTGATTTCACTCCTGCATGCCTGAGTGATATTTTTATACTCCTCCCTGGTCATTTGTCCAATCTTCCACTTCTTGTAAGCTTCTTTTTTGCGTTTAAGGTCAGCAAGGATTTCACTGTTAAGCCAAGCTGGTCGCCTGTCATATTTACTATTCTTTCTACACATTGGGATGGTTTGTTCCTGTAACCGCAATAAGGATTCTTTAAAATACAGCCAGCTCTCCTGGACCCCTTTGCCCTTCATGTTATTCTCCCAGGGAATCCTGCCCATCAGTTCCCTGAGGGAGCCAAAGTCTGCTTTTCTGAAGTCCAGGGTCCGTATTCTGCTGCTCTCCTTTCTTCCTTGTGTCAGGATCCTGAACTCGACCATCTCATGGTCACTGCTTCCCAGGTTCCCATCCACTTTTGCTTCCCCTACTAATTCTTCCCTGTTTGTGAGCAGCAGGTCAAGAAAAGCTCTGCCCCTAGTTGGTTCCTCCAGCACTTGCACCAGGAAATTGTCCCCTACACTTTCCAAAAACTTCCTGGATTGTCTGTGCACCGCTGTATTGCTCTCCCAGCAGATATCAGGGTGATTAAAGTCTCCCATGAGAACTGACGGGTTGGATCACAGAAACCCCCTTGGGAGCTGCCACCTGATGTGCCAAGACTACCCCTGCTTCTGTTTTCCCTGCCAGCTCAGGACTCCAGCACCCTGTCTTGCTGAGCGAGACACTCCCGTCTGCTCCAACACAGACCCAGGGTCTGAATCACTTGTCCCAAAGTTGCAAGTTTACCCAAAAACAGCTCACAGGAGTGTGCTTGTCTTTAGCACTCAGATGCCCAACTCCCAATGGGGTCTAAACCCAGATAAATCCGTTTTACCCTGCATAAAGCTTATGCAGGGCAAACTCCTAAATTGTTCGCCCTCTATAACACTGACAGAGAGATATGCACAGCTGTTTGCCCCCCCAGGTATTAATACATACTCTGAGTAAATTACTAAATAAAAAGTGATTTTATTAAATACAGACAGTAGGATTTAAGTGGTTCCAAGTAGTAACAGACAGAACAAAGTAAGTCGCCAAGCAAAATAAAATAAAATGCGCAAATCTATGTCTAATCAAACTAAATACAGATAATCTCACCCTCAGAGATGCTTCAGTAAGTTTTTTCTCAGACTGGACACCTTCCAGGCCTGGGCACAATTCTTTCCCCTGGTACAGCTCTTGTTCCAGCTCAGGTGATAGCTAGGGGATTCTTCATGATGGCTTCTCTCCCCTTTGTTCTCTTCCACCCCTTTATATATCTTTTGCATAAGGCGGGAATCCTTTCTCCCTCTGGGTTTCCACCCCCCCTCACTGGAAAAGCACCAGGTTAAAGATGGATTCCAGTTCAGGTGACATGATCACATGTCACTGCAAGACTTCATTACTCACTTGCCAGCACACACATATACAGGCAGACTAACAGGTAAACAGCCATCTGCAGACAATCGGAGTCATCAAGATTCCAAACCATCATTAATGGCCCACACTTTACATAATTACAATAGGCCCTCAGAGTTACATTTTATATTTCTAGTTTTAGATACAAGAGTGGTACATTTATACAAATCAGATGATCATACTCAGTAGATTATGAGCTTTGTAATGATACCTTACAAGAGACCTTTTGCATGAAGCATATCCCAGTTACGTTACATTCACTTATTACCATATTTTCTCTAAAACTATCCCAGTTACATTATATTGACTTATTATCAAGTTTTTATAAAACCATATAGACTGCACAATGTCACACCCTCCTCCTGAACTTACTGCCAGAGACTTGGACACTGACCATGGCGGAGGCAGTATACCTAAAATTCATTTTTGGGCTCCCCTATGGGGCAGACACTCCTGTGTCCCCCAAAAGGGAAAGATACCCTGATCCAGCTGTAGGCTCACAGCTCCAAGCTATGAGAGACCTTTAGCTGGCCAGCAAAATCCGCCCCCCTTTCACTCAGGTTGGGTTTGCTTCCAGCTAGATGCTCTTCCCTCTCTTCGTTAGGTGGAGCCCGTCTCTGCCTAGCACTCCTCCTCCTTGGCACACCATCCCATGGTCGAAGAATCCAAAGCCTTCTCTCCGACACCACCTGCGTAGCCATTCGTTGACTTCCGCTCCGCTCTGCCCTGATTGCACCCCCTTCCCCAAGGCCTCCCCCCCCCCCGCCTCTTCCCCACTGTTCGGAGGCGGGGGCAGCCCTGAAAGGGAGAGAGGGAAGGGGTAGGGAAGAGGTGGGGGATGGGGGAGCTTGGCTGCTGGTGGGTGCGAGCGCAAGTTGCAGCAGGAGCCAGCAGGACCAAGCTTCTGCCCCCACAGCTGCCCAGCCCTGGGGGCCCCTGTCATTGGGGGGGCCCGTGCCAGGGCACCCTGTGTTTTATGGTAAATCCACCTCTGAATGGAGATGATGCAGCTGCCTTTTTATATCCTTTGCCATGTGGCTTGTACTTCCTGTGTCCCAGACACAAGCTCACAGCACATGGCAGGGAAAAGCCTTAGGGTTGTGTCCATAGGCAGCCCCGACATGTCCCGCTGACTCATACGGTGCAGTCCCTGGTTTTCAATGGGTTCATTGTACAGCTGATGTCCCTTGGTGGGCCATCTAGCAAGCTTAGTGCTGATGCCAATCTGTCTGGGGGCATCACCCAGAAACACAGCACAAGTTTTGATATATCAGATTTTGAAACCATACAAATCTATAACTCACAGTACAAAGGTGATACAAACATCTAAACAAGATGATCATCCTTCGCAAATCATAACATTGTCAACGACACCTTACACGGCATATCTTTCATGATTTATTGCAATTTTATAATATTGGTATTATTAATAACATAAAGTGTCTCACAATTCCATACAGCGTCACAAGGGGATTTACACCAGATTAACTAGCTCCATTTACAAATCAGTATAAACGGGTGCAGACCAGGTCTCACACACATGTGAGTGCTCGACCCACTGGGGGGCCTTCATCTCTTGTTTGTTACTGGTACCGGCCCCTGGCAAGTGGCTCACGCGCTGTGTCTCTCCCCAGTACCTCCCACGGTCTCAGTTTCCCGCAGAGATGCCCCAGACAGCTCCATCACCCTCTCCTGCCACGCCAGGGGCTTTTACCCGCGTCCCATCCATGTCTCCTGGGTGCGGGACGGAGAAGACATCCTGGCGGAGACAGACTCCAGCGGGATCCTGCCCAACGACATTCACTCGTACTACACGCAGTCATCCCTGGAGATCTCCCCGCAGCAGGAGGACGGGCACCGCTACGCCTGCCGGGTGGAGCACAGCAGCCTGGAGGAGCCTGTGCTCGTCTGGGGTAAGGGGGGGTGAATGGCAGGACCCAGGGGTTGGGGGCACAGCCCCATGGGAATGACAGAGATGGGGTGAGGCTGGGCCGCAGGAAAGTCAATATACCTGCCCATTGTCAGAGCGAATTCGTCTAGCTCTGGGTATTCGTGTGACCCACAAAAATGGCCGATCCCTCAGCAAATCTCATTAAGTTTCTGGCTGTGGTGCCATCCAGTGACAGTGAGTTCCACAGGCTGATGTCGTTACGAGGGAAGGGCCTGGTTGCTGTGTGGCGTGTGTGTCTGGCAGTTCCCGGCAGAGCACCCCCCCTCTGTGCCCCATCCCCGTCCCCGTCCTGGCTCAGCCTTTCCCCTCCCCTGGGGCCAGGTCTCTGCAGACGCCCTCAGGGAGACGTTCAAGGCAAAGGCCTGTGGCTGCCCCAGGAGGATGCCCCAGCGGCGGCTCCCCTCGGTGACCTGGGCCCTTCTCCATCCCACAGCCCCTGGGAAGAAGGGCCCCCTGCCCCCCGGGGTCCTGGCCGCCATCGTCCTGGCCGTGCTGGTTCTGGCTGGAGCCGTAGGGGCCGGCGTCATCCTGTGGAGGAGAAAATCAGCAGGTAAGAGCCGGTCCCATGGAGCCGGGGTCTGGGGAGTGGGGCGGCCCAGCCAGCCCAAGGGGGAATGGCTCCTCCCACTGCCCCCAAGGAGAGATGGGGCAGGGCCATGGGGCAGGGCTGATCACCGTAGCCCAGCCCTGCTGGGGGCAGAGTGGGCTCTGTCGTTGGCTGGACGCCTTGTGCCTGGCTAGGGGGGGCACTGGGGTGGGGCTGGCCTGGGCGAGGTGTAGTTGGGGTCACGGGGAGCCCTGTGTCAGAGGGGACAGGGGGTTGGGGTCACCGTGGGGGAGGGGTTACCCTGCTCCCCTGCACTGACCCTCATTCTCTGCTTGTGTTTCAGGCCCCATGAAACCCGGCTACACTCCAGCAGCCAGTGAGTAAATCAAGGGTATAGGCCCAGCGCCCCAGTGCATTATGGGTGTGTGTTGGGGGGGGTCCCCATGAGGGGAGAAGGGATGCGGGCACTGATGGGGCTGGGCTGCATGAGTCACTGGGTCACTCCAACAGCCCGTTGCAGGCCAGACCAGCCGTCCGGGAGCTTCCGAGTGTGAGGGAAAAGCCGGAGTCCGGTGGTGTCTGTCGGGGGCGGGTACGACCGGGGTCACACACTGCATTTGGGGTTTGAACCTGGGTCCATTCCCAGCCCATGGCAGGTTGTGCCATAGAGAGGAGTTAGTGTGGGGGGACCCCAGAGCTGAATTCCCTTCCCCCTTCCCTAGCTGGGATCCCCACAACTAACGCCGCTGCCTCTGAATGATTTTCTTCTCTCTCCACAGCAAAGAGCGGGGAAGATTCTGCCTCCAGCTCGTCATCGGGAACAGACCCCCAGTGCTAGGGGCAGTGACCATGCCCAGCTGCTGACCCCGCTGGCCAGGCGATCTCTGTCCTCTGACTCCCCCCTGCCCCAGGGGAGATTCCCACTTGGTCGTTAGAGCAGTTTCCTCCTGGGGGTGTTGGGCCTCAGGCTCTCGTATTGCAGCGTTTGCGTCTCTGCTTCTGCAGCCGGGACTTTGCCTCAACTTCTCCCCAAAGGGCCGACTCACTCCAGTCTCCCTGTTAGGATATAGATATTCAGGCCTGTCTGCAAAGGCCGATACTTTAAGAATTTAGGTGTATTCTTATCACTTAGCTAGTTATAGAGGTATAAAAGAAAGAATCAAAATCACTGTCTGTCTGTGTAAGGGCCTTTTCTCACTGTCACATTGTAACGCCCTGTTCTTAGGCTAGGACCTTTGGGCTAAGCAGCAGAGGCAGCCATAAGCCGGGAAGTGAACGGTCACATCCTCACATTCCAAACTAGTCACATTGAAATCAGGTGCTATTGGGCTGTTAGGAACACAATCCTGTCCTGATATTCCTGTCACCTCCAGAGAAAGGGAAGAGCCTAGAAGATGTAAAAGGAAACTTAGTTGGCTAGCATCCTGTCTGGCAAGAACTCACTTCTCAATAGCTGGGGTGTGAAATCCTCATTTCTTTGTTGTTCTATCACTGTAGTCTCCACTTCCCTATTGTTAGTCTGTATAATCTCTGTCTGTTTTTGTCTGCTGTATAATTAATTTTGTTGGGTGTAAACCAATTAAGGTGGTGGGATATAATTGGTTAGATAACCATGTTACAATATGTTAGGATTGGTTGGTTAAATTTCAGTAAAATGATTGGTTAAGGTATAGCTAAGCAGAACTCAAGTTTTACTATATAGTCTGCAGTCAATCAGGAAGTAGGGGGGGAATGGGAACAGGGACTGGGAGTGGGGGAATTGGGATCATGTTTTGCTAAGGGGGGGAATGGGAACAGGACAGGGACACAGGCAAGGCTCTGTGGTGTCAGAGCTGGGAAGAGGGACACTGAGGAAGGAAACTGGAATCATGCTTGCTGGAAGTTCACCCCAATAAACATCGAATTGTTTGCACCTTCGGACTTCGGGTATTGTTGCTCTCTGTTCATGTGAGAAGGACCAGGGAAGTGAGACGGTGAAGGAACAAGCCCCCTAACACTCCTGTCTCTGCGGGGGCCGCTCTGCCTGCATCAGGGATGGGCAGTTCCCCTTGTCCAGCAGCAGGAACCAGCACAGAGCCTGACGAGCAGGCAAAGACAGGGGCGGGGGAGCCCCGCAGAGGGGAATTATGGGCTACCCCACCCCCATCTGAGAGGCAAATGGGCCCTGCTTGGAAAAATTGAATCCCAAAATGGTGATTTTTTCAGAAGGAAAAGACTCTGTGCTCTGGTTGAGCTCAGGTCCGAGTTTTGCCCTGAATGTTGTGTGTCAACAACCCCCGCCCCCCAATTCTGCACAAAGCTGAGCTGCTGAGTCTTGGAATCTCAGCACGTGTGTAATCGAAGCCTGAGCTCGTAAGCTGGAAAAGTACGCCCCCCTGGCCGACACCCTGAGAGCGAAGGGCTACGAGGTGCAGATGGACGCCCTGATTGTCGGAGCCCTGGGACCCCTGCAATGAGCGCGTGCTGCGGACCTGCGGGATTGGTCAACGCTATGCACGGCTCATGCGGCGCCTCATGGTCTCAGACACCATCTGACGGTCCAGGGACATCTACATCGAGCACATCACCGGCCACCGACAGTACCAGGAGGCGTGAGCCAGAGCGACATCGTTCTCCCACTATGAGAAAGGGACCAAGTGACCTTCGCCGTTGGATCATATGAACTGGAACCATAAACTCCCTGAACATTAAATCTCACCAAATGAGGGTCAATCCATCTCAGCATCATATCCACTCATTATACTCCACACCCAAACATAGCCACTCTATGAACTTCATACCCTCATATCTCAATGTCTGCACTTTGACCCATCAATCTTTTACCCCCAATCGGGGATATTGCAGATTATGTATTCCTTATGCCACCCGATCTTAAACCAAACTTCGCACCCCTTGATAATCTGCATGTTATTCCCTGATAACCAGAAACTTCTATGCTTAAACTCTGTAGTGTTTTTTGCAGAACTGGGGTTTTATCCTTTTCAGTTCCAACTTCTTGCTGGCTTTGCATTTTTTAAAATCAGTTAAAATAAGGCCAGAACTTTTGCAGGCTGGGTCAAATCTTGTCTGGGGCTGACCCAGCACCTCCATGATCTCAGATAGCTACAGACTTGGGGACTGCATATATTTTTGGATTCGAGGGCTTTCTGAGCCCAAAATTACGGGAATTAGGAGGTGGAAGCCAAACTTGAACAGCTAAACGGGACTAAATCGGGCGGACCGGATGATCTTCATCCGAGAATATTGAAGGAACTGGCGCCAGAAATTGCAAGCCCCTTAGCGATAATTTTTAATGAATCTGTTAACTCGGGGGTGGTACCGTTGGACTGGAAAATAGCTAATGTGGTTCCTATTTTCAAGAAAGGGAAAAAAAGTGACCCGGGTAACTACAGGCCTGTTAGTTTAACATCTGTAATATGCAAGGTCTTGGAAAAAATTTTGAAGGAGAAAGTAGTTAAGGACCTTGAGGTGAATGGCAATTGGGACAAATTACAACATGGGTTTACGAAAGGCAGATTGTGCCAAACCAACCTGATCTCCTTCTTTGAGAAAGTAACAGACCTTCTAGATAAAGGAAATGCGGTGGATCTAATATACCTCGATTTTAGTAAAGCGTTTGATACGGTACCGCATGAGGAATTATTGGTTAAATTGGAAAAGATGGGGATAGATATGAAAATCCAGAGGTGGATAAAGAACTGGTTAAAGGGTAGACTGCAGCGGGTAGTACTGAAAGGTGAACTGTCAGATTGGAGGGAGGTCACCAGTGGGGTTCCTCAAGGATCAGTTTTGGGTCCGATTTTATTTAATCTATTTATTACTGACCTCGGAACCGAATGTAGGAGTGGGCTGATAAAGTTTGCGGATGACACAAAGTTGGGAGGTATTGCCAATTCGGAGAAGGATCGGGATATCCTGCAGGGAGACTTGGATGACCTTGTAAATTGGAGTAATAGTAATAGGATGAAATTTAATAGTGAGAAGTGTAAGGTGATGCATTTAGGGATGACTAACAAGAATTTTAGTTATAAGCTGGGGACGCATCGGTTGGAAGTGACGGAGGAGGAGAAGGACCTCGGAGTCCTGGTTGACCGCAGGATGACTATGAGTCGGCAATGTGACGTGGCTGTGAAAAAAGCTAACGCGATCTTGGGATGCATAAGGCGAGGTATTTCTAGTAGGGGCAAGGAGGTGCTGCTTCCGTTATACAAGGCGCTGGTGAGACCTCATTTGGAGTACTGTGTGCAGTTCTGGTCTCCCATGTTTAAAAAGGATGAACTCAAACTGGAACAGGTACAGAGAAGGGCCACTAGGATGATCCGAGGAATGGAAAACCTTTCCTATGAAAGGAGACTCGAGGAGCTTGGTTTGTTTACCCTAACCAAAAGAAGGCTGAGGGGGGATATGATTGCTCTCTTTAAATATATCA